GCCAAGAGTATCACAGATACGATCTTTAAGTTTATTTTTATTAGAACTCACTGTACCGTGTATGTAGAAAATTAATGTATACTTCCCCCTTCTGAATGTTGTATATGTTGGATAACCATGCAAGTTATTTCAACAAAAATAATTTTCTATATAAGGAAATGGATACTCCTAAAGGCAGAGTATCATATTCCTGTCATTGGTATGGAATTTAAATCTTCTTTTGTCTCATAAAAGGATGTAAAAATGAAAGCAGATATGTCTGAATGAGTTAAGCATGTGTTCTGAAAACCAAAAATATTAAATTTTCCCATTTTTTTTCTGTAATATATCTTTTTAGATTTTGCCATCAGAATGAATGTATGTTTTTTACTAGTATTCAGGGGGTTTTTTTTCTGCATTCTAATTGTATTTGAGTTTTGGTGGGGTTTTTTTTTGTTTTGTTATGTTGGGGTTTTTTTGTTCAACACATTTTTTCCTTCAGCCAGACAAGTCTATCTGGTCTGTGTCAAACCTATGTATCACTTGGGAAGTTCTTCATCAATTCCCTCCAGTAAATTAAAATCTACAGGGGCAATGTGTTGACAGCCTGTGTAACAACTCAGAGGCTTCCATTCACAAAATAAATTCTCTATGTGTTGAAGGACACTAGCAAACTTTTTTTTTCCAAAATTGTGGATGATCAAGGTATTCCCAATATTAAAAAAACTGTGCCATGATTAGGACTTTGATTGCTCATAATGATCACGATTATCACCATAAATAATTTTTTACTCATCTTTAATCAGCTAACAATCCTGAAATTCTGCTTTGTCACATGAAAGGTGGGTTTTTCAAGTTACTGAGATGACTAGATCATTTATATGCTAGATATTAACAAGGAGTAATAAATATGCCAATAATTTATCAGGGAAACTGAATTCTCTGTTATTGGAAGTTAAGCACTTTTAGAAAGCATTTGAGACACAGCCACCCTTGCCCCCATACTGGGACAGGAGAAAAACGGTGTGAATTATTTATAAGAGTAACAGACTTGACAAGGAGTCAGGGATCTGAAGTTGTGATGGAGTTCAGCTTTAACAGCTGCAGTATCAAGCATAAATCCAAGATGCTCTTCTACTCTCACCAGTGCAGAGCCCTTTGTGTTCTCTAGATTGTTCATCAAGAAAGAAAAGGAGGCAACATTCTGAGCACATGCTTTCTCACCTGCACTGAAAATTGGAGTTTCCTATTCTGCATGTCCTTTCTTCCTTAGTATCTTTGTCATTAAGGGGAAAAAAACACTCTAGAAACCCTTGTTTAGCATCGAAATCTGATGTATGGAATTCTGGAAAACCTTTCAGCCAGAGGATCACTGCTCAGCCCAATCTCTTAACCTAAATGTAACCTCACCAAGTGTTTAACAGAGTTCTAAATTTTTGTTCCAAATTCCGCCAAAAGGAACCTCACAAAAGAAAAGGAATTTCAGCCTTTAAACCCTGAATATTTTGCCTTTATTTATTTCTGTAGGGGTTTCACAGTATTAGGAGATTTCTCAGTATTTGACATTCTTATTGTCCAAAATCCCTGATTAGTCCTGTTCTTCATTAACTTTCTTTTGATTTATGGCATCCTCTTTTCCTAGGCACTTGGTAATTCAGAATAATGGGTTTAGATCATGATCCCTTACTTCTTTATTGTCATCAATACTGAAAAGTTAATTTCAAATGAAAGAAGTATGCAACCTTACTGTAATATAGAAATACTTGATATTCACTGTTGGAAGTTACACAGCTGTATTTCTCATGGTGGCAGATAAATTAGAAGACCTTTAAGACAAAAATGTTCTACCAAAACAAAACAAACAAACAAAAAAAAAAACAAACCACAGACTTTCATGTGTATATCTAGATATATTAAGGTAATTAATGAGTCAAAAGTAAAGATCGTTTGATTATATGAACTATTGTTTATTTTTGAATTATAAATCAGGGCAGAATAGCTTCATAGCAGAAATCTATGATGCCTTTTGGGAGATAAGGTGCTCCTCAGCAAAATAAAGTGCACAGGGACCTTTATTTTCATGTTTTGTGTTACCAGGGGACAGTAAGGTCACCACTCCTCGTGTAACATTTCTGTAAGTGCCTGGATTTTGGAAAGGATATTGTGGGTTACTTTCTTGTTGCCATTTAACCTTTGCAATCAATTTGGGATTTTTCCTTCTCTTGGATTTAAATACACCACGACACTAGCTGGTGATGCCATAAAGAGCTGTGAATCATCAGTCTTTCCAAGGGTACTGTAATTATCAGGAAAATCTCAGATTGGTTCACACTTTATTCTGCAGGGTTCTTTATGTAACCATTTTTCTGTGCTATTTTACACAGTTTGTTCTACAAATTTTGTGTAACAATGTTATTTCCTTTCAGAAGGCCAAGTATTAAGTGGATAGCAAAAGGATCTGCCTCATATGAGATCCAAAAAAGTTTATCAGTAAGTAGTTTCACTCCAGTATAAAGAGTTGTAAATTGCAATTTGAGTTTTAGGACACGTCTATAAGAGACAATCCAGCCCTGACAATCTAACAGTACAAAGTCATGGCCTAGAAATGAAATTTTTTTTATTTACATTGACTTTTATATATGAAAAAATGTTATTTAAACTAATTTTTCACTGTTGCTTTCAGATAGTTTTCCATCCTCCTTCTGATCTTAAGGTCTATGCATTGAGTTAAAAATACTCTTATACAACAACTCATTTCATGTAAAGGAATAATGCTTTGCATGAGGACACTAAGTTATTTTGACTGTGTGCTTTAACATTAGCTTTTACCTTTTTTATCCTGTCACTAAAAATCACTTTCAAAAATGCTTTTTAAGCAAAAAATATTAGTGGTTCTTGAACAAGTTCTCTAAAGCTCATTTAGTATCCTTCATCACAAGTTACAGAAGTAATTGGATATTTAGATTTTTAGCTAACAGGCAAATGAAATTAGTATTTCAGTTGCTGTCCAAGAGAAGAGCCTGGTATAGCTAGCCCAAACCCCCAAAATAATTCTGCTCTTCACTGAGGTTTTTCTATTACTAAAAACCTTCCTGAATTATATTCTGACCTCAGAAAGGACAATTTTGTAAGCAGAAGCAGCAAAATAGGAGAAATAACAATATATAGGGTGTTTTCTCCTGCAAGCTTGGAGTTACTTAGAGCACCAGTGCTCCTATGAAGAAGAAATCTCTCTGAAATATGGAAATGAATTTTCAGTAGGGGATTTTACCAGTGTTACCTTTGCAGCTGTATCTGGAGCTGAAGTAACCAGGAAGACTGTGAAATATAAAACAGGTCACTGTAATCAGGACCTTCCTAGGCTGACTTCCTTAGGTCCTTTTTTGAACATAACTCTAAGAAGTACAATAAATCTATGGTTGTGATGCTCTAATCTTACTGCTGCAAGGATTTAACATTCAAAACAGCCAAGGCTCTGTTTAAAGCCAGTGATCACCACCTAATAAAGGGCACAGTGGAAAAGCTGAGGGATCTTTTCCTTAAGGAAACAGCAGCATATTGCTTCAGTCTGTAGAACTACCATCTTCACCATCCATTTTAAATGCAAGTACTTCCTGTTGAGTAAAATCATGATCATATTCTTTTTCTCCATCTGTGATGGTGGGTAGGATCCCATCATGCAAACAGGGGAAATGTTAATTTTTACTAACCCTGGAAGAACAGGAAGTTGAAAGTCAGCCAGAGATGAAAATAGATTCTTAGTTTTTTTCTAGTGAACATTTATAGAAGTGTTGTCTTACTCCAAAAGGGAAAGGTGTCTACAACAGACCATGTTCTTTTGTAGCTGTACAGTGATCAGCAAGGAAAATAAAATCATGCAACAAAGGTGTCATTCCCACCCACAGTACTGGGTAGAAAAAAGCTGCTATTGAGAATAGTGTGCTTTCCCCCCCGTATTCCAGAAAGTGATATCATTCAATTATGTTTTATTAACATATACATATTCTATTAGAGAATATTTAGGGACAGAAAATTGATAATATACATTGATACATTAAAGCTGAGCAGAATAAAATTACTCTTTTATGCACCCCTTTTAACAAAGCCTAGTGACCACACAGAAAGGAAACTGTACTAATAGAATTTTCAAAAAAATACTACTTTGTTGTTATAGACTATATAGGAAATCTGAGCCAAATTAAATCTGTGGACCATTTCCTAGATATTATGGAGCCACAAGATTCTGCCCTAATTGTACAGAGTTAGTCAGTATTAGGTTGGCAATTGTGTTCCAAGAGAGCAGTGATATTTAAATTAAGTAGATTTTCAAGGTGACAGAAACAGTTTAGCAAGTAAATTACATATATGATTGCCAGCAAGGAGAAAGAATTTTCTTTCCAATGTCACAACCAATATTTCCTAATAAAAATAATAAATAAATTAAAAAAAAAAAAAAGAAAGAAAGAANAAATTAAAAAAAAAAAAAGAAAGAAAGAAAAAACAACAACAAAGTGATTTTCTAGAAAGATACATTCCTGACAAATTTACCAAGGAAGCATTCCAGTCATCATGTTAGCTTGAGGTAATATGATGACAGTTTATTTTCATAAATACAATGTACAGCATCATGAGACTGTGGAGATACATCTTTCAAATCTGAGAAGTGCATGTCACAGCCACACCAAACAGTAATTATAAAACACGGATATACTGAAAACAATAAAATGATGGAAAAATTATAGTCTTCAATGGTCATTTAAATTAACAATATACAAAAGTTCACAAATTCAAAGTAACCCTTTGATACTAGTGTTAACTTGAAATAAATATATTATAGTATTGTAATGTATAGAATTCTTGTCTATCACTTATCACAGATTATGACGTAATTACATGTGGCACTAGACTATGAAAAATGGAGTTCAATATATTAACTATTCAGTAACTACAATCACTAACATCAGGAATAATTATGTCCTGAAATTATTTTAATCCCCTTCTGTGTATGTTTGCACATATAAGTACACTTCTCTATTTGAGTTAAATTATCTAGTAAAATTACTGGCAATATTCACTTTTTTATTGTCATGCTCATCTTTGAAAACCTTATGCAAAATCCTTTGAAACAGCTTCTATAAAATTTGGAGCAGACATGAGTATTGTAAATGTGCAAACGATGGCAAAGAGGGTAAATGCAACCAGACATAATCTGTCTATGACAGCAGCTGCAAACTTCCACTCACTGCAGACCTCTTCACCCTCGTCTTGCTTCCTGAACCGCATGGCTATGAACTGGACTTCCTCCAGGATTTTCACCATCACTGGAAGGGTGTCCATTAGAGCTTTCTTTTGCACAAGCTCGATGTCTTCTGCCAAGGGGCAGGTCACCTTCCCTGCCTTGCTGCCCAGGTCGTTCTGCTGCGGGCAGCACGGGCTCTCCACGCCGTGGTAGCTGTAGATGGAGTTGCCATTGCTGGGCTGGTGCCCGGGCAGGGCGTTCACGTCCAGGCTGTTCACGCTCAGCTGCTGCTTGGAGTAGCTGTACTTGCAGGAGAGGGGCTT